CACTCTCACGATCTCAATATCTCAACATTCCATGTATTTTGATGAAACTCTGTAAAATTTGGTGGGGGAGGGAGGATTAAGATTTGAAGTCCCTCCCATTTTGCATATTCTGCATAGAAAATACATAAAAATTCCCTCCCTTTTAACAAGAAAGCCTGTAAGAAAATGCTATTTATCAAAAATTTCTAGGAAAAAACTGAACGATAATGAATGATTTCTTTTGACTTATTTTAACCATAATATGCATCCAAAGTGTTCCATCCACTTTTCCAAATTTCTAACTTACTATCAATGGAACAGCGCCATCAATGAGAAAAAAATAGCATTGACTTAATAGTGAAAACTATTTTTGTAGTTCTTTAAAAATTCTACTCTAACTCTTTTCTTAAATGAACTTGGTGGCCCTGAAAAGGGCCGTTTTGTTGCCGAGTTGGTTGTTGGTGATTATGATGCGTAGACGACATCCATGGCCAGGACTGTCTGCTCTTGGCGTGTTCAGTGACGGCATCACGGATAACATTTTCTCGGCACACCTTCAGCACACCTCGGGTTTCCCCGTACATCAGCAAAATTCAAATTGCATTTTCCAAGCAGACTTACTTGTCAGAGTCCACCAACCCGTACACCCTTCCGGACAATTCGATCAACTTCAAGGTCTACAGCACCTCCAAGAACAATCGCTTCCTAGGCCAGCAATCGCATTCTCCACTTCTTCAATACCTCACCCGTATGCCGTCCGAAGATCTGCTGCGACTGCATTCACCACCAAGGACAGCCGCCCGTCGCAAGTGCGAATGTTCCCGCTGAAATAGGAAAGTTCCTCCTCCGGATTGTTCGAGTTCTCGAGCGTATCCCTGGCAGTGAACGTCATCATGAAGTGCAACCACAGCGCGATCGATCACAAATGCACAAAATTCTTGTTCATTATGAAGCTGTGCTTTTCCTCCTCCATGAAGATGAACGGTGTGTGGAACAACGAGAACATCAAAAACACGTTAGCTTTGAAAGAGCGGAAGCTCCTTTTTCTGAAGAAAGGATTTTCCTTTTTCTGTGTAGTTAATGTTATGATTCGTAATTATAATTTCTTATTGTGTTAGTTAGAAGTGCAAAAAGGCTAAGTATTTTTACATTGTTCCTGTCTTGGCAATTCAGTATTTTAAACAGGTTTCTTAAACCTGCATGTCAGTATAACAATTGATAGCTTAAAACTAAAAACTAAAACTAAATCTTATCTAAGTATAAAGAGAATTAATCGTTGCAATTGAGGATTGCAACGATGTTAGCCTGAAATTATTAATTATTTTGTTGGACATTTGTTCTAAAGTCTCAACATTCGAAATTCTATGTACTTCGGTAGTACTGTACCAGGGAGGCAACTTCAAAATCATTTTCAGAACTTTGTTTTGAATCCTTTGAAGTGCTTTTTTCCTGGTAGTGCAACAACAAGACCATATTGGCACAGCGTAAAGCATGGCCGGTCTAAAAACTTGTTTAAATATTAGAAGTTTATTCGTCATGCAAAGTTTGGATTTCCTGTTTATAAGAGGATACAAACATTTTATATATTTGTTACATTTGGCTTGAATGCCCTCAATGTCATCTTTAAAAGTTAATTTTTGGTCAAGTATTAATCCAAGATATTTCACTTGGTTTGACCAGGAAATTAGAACTCCGTTCATAGTGACTATGTGAGTACTACTAGGTTTCAAAAACGAAGCTCTAGGCTTATGTGGAAATATTATAAGTTGAGTTTTGGAAGCGTTGAAAGAAATCTTCCATTTTTGTAAATAAGAAGAGAAAATATCTAAACTTTTCTGCAGTCTGCTGCAAATAACACGAAGATTTCTTCCTTTAGCGGAAATGCCTGTGTCATCAGCGAACAAAGATTTGTGGCAACCCTGAGGCAAATCAGGGAGGTCCGAAGTGAAAATTTTATACAATATAGGCCCAAGAATGCTACCCTTAGGAACTCCTGCTCTAACAGGTAGTCCATTAGATTTGGAATTTTGCTAATTTACCTGCAGAGTTCTGTCAGTTAAATAATTTTGAACTAATTTCATTATATAAAGTGGAAAATTAAACTTTTTCAATTTAGCAATCAAACCTTCATGCCAAACACTGTCGAATGCTTTTTCTATGTCTAGAAGAGCAACTCCAGTTGAGTGGCCTTCAGATTTGTTTGAACGAATTAAATTGGTAACTCTCAAGAGTTGATGAGTAGTTGAATGCCCATGGCGAAATCCAAACTGCTCATCTGCAAAAATTGAGTTCGTATTGATGTGAAGCATCATTCTATTCAAAATTATTTTTTCAAAAAGTTTACTTATTGAAGAAAGCAAACTTATTGGACGGTAGCTAGAAGCTTCAGCTGGATTTTTATCCGGCTTCAAAATTGGAACAACTTTTGCATTTTTCCATTTATCAGGAAAGTATGCCAAATGGAAACATCTGTTAAATAATTTTACCAAGAAAGACAAGGTACTCTCTGCGAGTTTTTTGATGAGGATATAGAAAATTCCATCATCACCTGGAGCTTTCATATTTTGAAACTTTTTAGTTATAGACCTTACTTCGTCCAAATCAGTCCCCCAGGAATCATCAAAAATATTTTTTCGAGAGAAAATATTCATAAAATCCCGAGCAACCTGATTCTCAATAGGACTAGTAAGACCCAAACTGAAATTATGGGAACTCTCGAATTGCTTAGCAAGTTTCTGAGCTTTTTCCAAATTTGTGATCAAAATTTTACCACCTTCTTTAAGCGCTGGAATAGGCTTTTGAGGTTTTTTCAAAATTTTTGTGAGTTTCCAAAAGGGTTTGGAACTCGGGTCTAATTTAGAAACATTATTTTTAAAAGTTTTGTTCCTCAGGGCAGAGAATCGTTTTACCCTTCTTACAAAGAAGGGTATAGATATCACTTGAAAAACCGACTATCGATCCGAGGCCCGGAGGGCCGAGTGTCATATACCATTCGACTCAGCTCGACGAGATCGGAACATGTCTGTGTGTGTGTGTGTGTGTGTGTGTATGTGTGTATGTGTGTGTGTATGTAACGAAATGAATGCGCTCACGTTTCTCAGCAACCGCTCAACCGATTTGGACAAACTTGGCGCCAAACGATAGGTCTTGGAGTCCCATTGAACGCTATTGAACGGTTTTGGAATCGGTGAACCGGTTCCGGAGATATGGCCAGAATAAGATCCGGTGAATATGGACCTTCACGCTGGATTTAACGGAAAACTTATCAAAACCATCATATACCATTCGACTCAGCTCGACGAGATCGGAACATGTCTGTGTGTGTGTGTGTGTGTGTACGTGTGTATGTGTGTATGTGTGTATGTGTGTGTGTATGTAACGAAATGAATGCGCTCACGTTTCTCAGCAACCGCTCAACCGATTTGGACAAACTCGGTGCCAAATGATAGGTCTTGGGGTCCCATTGAACGCTATTGAACGGTTTTGGAATCGGTGAACCGGTTCCGGAGATATGGCCAGAATAAGATCCGGTGAATATGGACCTTCACGCTGGATTTAACGGAAAACTTATCAAAACCATCATATACCATTCGACTCAGCTCGACGAGATCGGAACATGTCTGTGTGTGTGTGTGTGTGTGTACGTGTGTATGTGTGTATGTGTGTATGTGTGTGTGTATGTAACGAAATGAATGCGTTCACGTTTCTCAGCAACCGCTCAACCGATTTGGACAAACTCGGCGCCAAATGATAGGTCTTGGGGTCCCATTGAACGCTATTGAACGGTTTTGGAATCGGTGAACCGGTTCCGGAGATATGGCCGGAATAAGATCCGGTGAATATGGGCCTTCACGCAGGATTTAACGGAAAACGTATTAAAACCATCATGCGACACATCAAATTACTACAGAATTCAAAAATAAGATCAATGCAAGTCGTGTTAAGTGCAGGCCACATTGGACACACTTGGACATGTTCCGGGTACCCCGGGGAAGTTGCAGAGATACGTTTGACACCACCACGGTGAGCCAGACGACGGAAGGTGGTTATCTCGAAGAATTTGCGTTTGGTTCTGAATATGGCGATGAGTGTGCAAAATATTACGCAATTCCATCCTCCCTATTCGCACGCGCCCGAGGATCGGAGGCGAATGCCACTTCGACTTGTTTCGTCTACTTACTACTCTCTGACGACTGTGCTGGGGAAGTAGCATATGCATGTAGGTAATTGGTGGATTTGTTAGTTAATTCAACGTTTTTGAACAATGCTGGACATTTACCAGTTTTTCAATAGTTTCTTGTTGAAAATCAACATTCGGAAGCATTTTTCGATGCGTAGCCATATTTCTGATCGATTGGTGATAACATTATTGAAATTGGACCAGGAGCAGCTGAGTTATTAACGTTCAAAATCTTTCTTAATTTGTTACATGTTCCATTTTCGGTTTTCACAAAGTGTACCCCCATATAGAAATCAAAGACGTAGTCCTACGTCAAAAAACTTTATTTGTATTTAAACAAACAATTCCGTTTGAAATTATATTGCATTTTATTGTTTCGATAATACTTATTCAAATAAATTCAAAATAAGATTCTTTTTGTTTTAATAAGCAACTATTGTAAAAATAACAATATTCTTTTATTAAGCCAACAATATTAAATTGTAATTTAGCATTTATTTGTTGTGTCCGTTCTCCGGGCCATGAAAGCAAAAATAACTACCAACCACAAAAATGTAAACAATAACACAAAACTGTTCTCGTTTGATTCAGCTCTTTTCCGCGTTCGACTATAGACTATAGACTATAGAAATCTCCTTGTCTACAATACTCGGGAATTCGGGAGTGGAACTAGGGCTAATAAAAAGCACGTTTGTTTTTCTCGTTCACAACAACTCGACTCCTTTTATTCATTGTGCATTGGGCGATATCATATTTAGAGCAATGGGCGCTTCTGTGCAAATTATCGATTATTATTATCAACATCTTCCCCCCAGTTGGCACGCAGTGTCCAACCAAACCCCTAGATGGAGCTGTCTTCAATAGGCAAAACGGCGATCCTTCCAATCGCTCTCTTCACTTCGCCGTTTGCTGTCTGTATGCTGACTACTCGAACGATGTTGTCTGAGCCGGGGTGAGTCTGCACAATCCGACCCATTCGCCATTGCTGCGGTGCCATGTTCTCCTCTCGCAAGACCACCAGCATTCCCGGTTTGATGATCAACTTCTCCTTGTACCATTTACCTCTAGGCTGAAGTTCATTGAGGTATTCCGATGACCATCTCGCCCAAAACACCTGCTTCTGCCTTCGGAGATACTGCCAACGGGATAGCGACGAAACTCTAACTTCATCATAGCTCGGTTCAGGAGGCGCAGTGAGCTCGCGGCCCACCAAAAAGTGAGCTGGGGTCAATGCAGTCAAATCATTCGGATCGCTCGTCAACTGAGTCATCGGCCGCGAATTGAGTATGGCCTCAATCTGTACGACCACTGTTGTTAACTCTTCGTACGTCAACGATGTTTCGCATAGCACCTTCTTCAGTAATGATTTGGCTGCCTTCACTCCAGCCTCCCAGATCCCGCCGAAGTTCGGAGAGCGGGGCGGAATGAAAGACCACTGTATCTCTTTCACCTCACAGAATTGGTTGATTTTCATGGTAGTCTGCTGCGCTTTAAAAAGTTCGTACAGCTCTCCCAACTCGGACTTGGCTCCACGGAAATTTGTAGCGTTATCCGAATGAAGCTGCTCGGGTGTACCTCTCCTGCCGACAAACCGCTGCAAGACAGCCAGAAATGCTTCTGTTGTAAGGTCAGAGGCCACCTCCAAATGTACGGCTTTTGTGCACATACAAACGAAGAGCGCGACATATGCCTTCACGCGACTCTGGCGACGACCTTGCTTGATGTAAATGGGACCTGCATAATCAATTCCGGTTCTAGCAAATGCCGGAGCGGGCGTAACACGGTAATCCGGCAAGTTTCCCATGAACTGCTGAATTTCTGGAGGCTTCATCCTGAAACATCGCACACACCTCTTCACAACTTGACGCACAACGTTCTTACCTCTAATCGGCCAGTAACGGTGCCGAACGATGGCGAGCAGTCCTTGCTGTCCCACGTGCAAATGTTCCTTATGCAGCGACTCAATCAGTATTCTCGTGACATGATGACCGGATGGAAGCAGTAGCTGATGTTTTCGTTGAAACGGAACCTTTGCATGCTTCAGTCGACCACCAACTCTCAGCAAACCGTCGGTGTCAAGAAACGGTGCTAATTGTAGCAGCTTACTCTTCTTTGTCTTGTTATTCTGCAGCATGCTTAGTTCATCGGCAAACTCTTCCCGCTGTATCTTCCAGATGATCTTCGACGTAGCACTTCGCAGTTCAGACACCTTAAGAGGCCCAGTTGTTCGTTGGACCTTCTCCTTCATCCGGCAGTTGTTTGCGAATCGGTACAGGTAGGCAACAACTCTCTGCAGTTTTCTGAAGCTGCTGTACCTTGTTAGCAGCTCGTACGGTTCAGTGCAGACGACTACTTCGCAATAAATGGGACTCTTCAACTCCAGTTCCTCGTGGCTGAATGTGGGTGGTTCGGGAGGCACGTAACAATCTTCATTCCGCTGGAGCATCACAGGACCGTTCCACCAGAGGTTCGAATGCTGTAGATCCGATGGTGTAACTCCTCGGGAAGCCAAATCAGCGGGATTGTGGTTCGTGCTGACGTAGCGCCACTCGTACTCATGCGTCAATTGATTAATCTCTCGAACTCTGCTGCCTACGAAGACTTCCAGACTGGCATGCGACTTATTGAGCCAACACAAGACGATTTGGGAGTCACACCACAAAACTACCTTATCGACCTCCATATCGATAGCCTTCAACACACTCGTCACAAGCCGTGACAACAGGAGGGCGCCGCATAGCTCAGCTCTTGGTGCAGTATAGGGCCTTCTTGCTTTTTTGCTCCCAGGTTTAGTAGGCAGTGGGGTTACACGAGTCTTGCTGCTGAGTAGATGGATTTCAGAGGTACCGCCGCTTTTCAAGCTCCACAAGTACACACAAGCTCCATAAGCCTTCTTACTAGCATCCGAGAACCCGTGCACCTCGAACGATTCGGCATCAGCTGCTACTATTCTGCGTGGGACTCTGATCTCGTTGATTTGCTGCAGTTGATCCTTGAACCGCCTCCATGCTGCCTCTAGCTCAGTAGGAAGGGGATCATCCCAATTCAACTCCAACGACCACAGCTGCTGAATGAAAAGCTTCGCTAATACCGTGACCGGCTCCAGTAGACCAAGGGGGTCAAATATCTTCGCAGTATCTGACAGTACGATCCGCTTCGTGTAGTTTTCTGGAGATTCACTGTTGCTCTGCATCCGAAAGAGGAACACGTCAGCCGACGGATCCCACAGGAGTCCCAGGGTCTTTATTACATCGTTGAACTCTTGGTCTTCAATTCTTACTTGCTGCTCCCTGTGCTTCTCCGGAATACGTTGCAGCAGTTCAGGAGCATTTGCGCACCACTTGTGGAGCTCAAAGCCTCCCCGTTGCAGTAGTGCAATGAGCTGCGACTGGCACTCCAATGCTTCTTCAAGACTGTCTGCTCCGGTTATTACGTCGTCCATATAAAAATCCTTTTTCGCCACTCGGGCTCCAAGCGGGAACTCCTCTTCTTCGTCTATGGCGAGCTGCCTCAGGCAAGCGGTCGCACAGAACGGTGCACATGACGTGCCGTATGTCACGGTCTTCAACTCGAAAACATCCAGCTTTGCCTGTGGATCTTCTCGATACAACACCTTCAAATAGCACGTATCTCTATCATCCATCCGCACCTGCCGAAACATCTTGATCACGTCCGCAGAGAACAGAAACTTGTACTTCCGGGAACGTAGCACTATCGCTGCTATGGTATCTTGAATCGCAGGCCCGATCATCAGCACGTCGTTCAAAGAGACGTTGGTATCCGATCGTGCCGACGCATCGAAGACTACACGCAATTTGGTTGTCGAACTCGAGGGCTTCACGATAGCATGATGTGGTATGTAGAATCCAGTGCTACCGATGTCTTCGACTTTGACGCAGTGTCCCAAACTTATATACTCGCGTATAAAGGCGGAATACTGCTGCTTGAGGTCGGCGTTCAAGTTCAGCTTCTTCTCTAACTGATAGAACCGCCTTTCCGCCATGGCACGTGATTCTCCAAGCTGATCCAAGTTGTCCCGAAAAGGTAGTCGCACTACGAAACGGCCTTCTTCACGTCGGTGGGTCTTGGCGAAATGCTCCAAACATTGCTGATCTTCCATGTTGCCTTGCGCTGATTCCATGACTTCCTCCTGATCCCAAAATCGCTGCACCAACTTTTCCAGGTTCGACTCCGATGATTCCAGGCGAGCTATATTGGATACCGCTACTGTACGCTGAATGCTCGTAAATGCACCGCTCACGATCCATCCTAGCTTGGTGTTCCACAGCACAGCTTGACAATCCTTGACCTTCAGACGCTCCGTCAGCAGCAGCTCGAAAAACAGTTCAGCTCCTATGAGCATATCCACCCTTGCTGGAACGTTGAATCTTGGATCTGCGAGACACACTTCCGAAGAAATATGCCACTGGGAAACGTCAAACTTCCGAGAGGGTAGGCAACCAGTAACTTGTTTAACCACCAGAAATTCGAGAGCCCAGGATGAATCCTGCTGCATTGACTTCACTCGTGCAACAGCTTGGTGCGTTACAACACGCTTATCTCCACTTATTCCAATTACAGGAGCTCGAACTCGTTCACGCTGCAGTCGTAGTTGACGGACGATGCTCTCGGTGAGAAAATTGGACTGAGAGCCGGAGTCCAACAATGCACGGCACAGATGATACGATCCACTGGAATCTTGTAGCTCTACAATCGCTGTTGAAAGCAGCACTTGCTTCTCACAGACTCTTTGCGACGACATCACTGTGCTGACGTTGGAACTAACAGGACTCGACGTGACACTGCGTTCTGACTGTGGAGCCTCTTTCTGGTCAACCGCCGTTCTAATAGGAACCGGTTGCTCCGACGAAACATCCTCAAAATGCAATAGAGTGTGATGTCTCTTTCCGCATCCACTAACTGTGCAGGCTCGTGATTTGCATTGTCCAACTCGATGGCCACGTTTCAGGCAATTGAAACACAAATGCCGCTCCTTTACCTTCGTCATCCTATCGGACATTGACATCTGCTTCAACACTTCGCACTTGATCGCAATATGGGAACCGTCGCAAATGGAACACTCATCATCAGCAGCTTGATGAACTGCATGAACCTTCTGCATGGGTTTCGCTACCGGTACCAGAGACCTCGGCTTACTCGATTCCAGCATCTTGCACTTAAATTTCGTCTCACAACGCTCAAGGACGAAGCTACGATTTTGTAGGAACTCAAGGGTCTCCTTATATTTCGGAAGCTCCTTCGGTTTCACGCTGTTCTCCCACAAGGCCACGGTCGCATTGTCGAGTTTGGAGGTTAGGAGTGAAATCACAAGTTGTTCTGACATTCCTTCCATCGGTAGAGCATGAAATTTCAGTGCCTCTACGTTCCGATTGCAATCGTCGACCAGCTGCCGTAGTTCGACAGAACTTTCCCTCGACATCTTCCGCAAATTCAGCAATCCTCCAACATGCACGTCGATAATGGTCCTTTTATTTTCAAAGCGCTCCTCAAGAACATTCCAGGCAATCTGAAAGTTGTTCTCGTTGACGATCTGGTCACTCAATACGCTCTCTGCCTTCCCTTTCAGGCACTGCTGCAGATAGTGCAGCTTTGTAGCATCCGAGAGTAGAGGATGCTTTTGCATGAGATCCTCAAACAGCTGTTTGAAGCGGTACCACTTCTCGTACGCTCCGTCGAAAACCGGTAGGGGCACGTTTGGCAATCCGGGTACATGGTTCACAACGTTTGGTTGCTGATAAGGTTGGACGATTTCTGCTACTGCCTGCTTAGTGGGATCGTTCTGCTTCCGTAGGCCTTCGATTGCCTGGCAAAGTTCAACTCGTAGCTCCTCGTAGCCGATTTCAAAATCGATGAAATACTCCTCTTGCTGCAATCGTTGGTCGGGAAACTCCAAGTACACCTCGTTCTGGATGGTGTTATATTCGTCATAGCACGAATCCACACGTCGCAAATACGTTTCCAAATGGTAAACACTGTTGTTCGCAGCCTGGCCCAACATATCCTTTACACGCTGGAGCTTCGCAACCACGGCGTCCCGTCTAGCCATCAGAGCTTGTATCTTCATTTCCGCCACCGATTGCTGCCGACGTTGCTCTTGTTTCTTCTTCTGCTCGTCCACCGGGGAATGTAGAACACCTCCTCTACCTCTTCCCACCGGTGTATACAAAAATTCATTTTCTTCGGTCATCTCAGCTCACTTTGTTTACACTTTTTCTTCTCACTTCGACCGCGCTTCGAGCGGTGCAAGCTTCTCACTTCTCACTCTGTTCGACCGGCTTCCAGTCCGACCGGTGCCTTTCTCTCACTAATGTTCGACCAGTCCCACGGAGGGTGGTGCTTTTTCACTCACACAAAATGTCCGACCGGCTTTCACGGAAGTCGGTGCTTCTTCTCACTCTGCCACAGACCGGACTTCCGCGAAAGTCGATGCGTTCCACACTCGTTGTGGAAGCGAACGAATTGAGGTTAGGAACCTCAAACACAATGAAAATCGCGTCCGGATGCAGCTCTTTGCCATGCGCGAACACGAAATCGCATTTCCCGCAGGATCAATACGATCTTCTCAACTTTTTCCGGCCACTACGCGCGGAGAACACTCCCGGGGGTAATCCGGTTCGAAATTAGGACCAAAAATGTCTACAATACTCGGGAATTCGGGAGTGGAACTAGGGCTAATAAAAAGCACGTTTGTTTTTCTCGTTCACAACAACTCGACTCCTTTTATTCATTGTGCATTGGGCGATATCATATTTAGAGCAATGGGCGCTTCTGCGCAAATTATCGATTATTATTATCAACACTCCTTATACCTTTTGGCAAATTCCTATTGCTGATTATTCAAAAAATGTATAAGTCAACTAATAAGCAGACGCCTTGCAAAAAGTTAACGAAGATCATGTGTCAAATTAAATGTATAAGCGGTCACACATACCTTTTATCCATTCTTATAGGACCTATGTGGTTTATCTTGAATGTATAAGGCTGATGTTTTGGCAAAAATGGATAAGTGAAACACATGAATAAAATAACTGTTTTTCGTTTCGTGTAGAATTTCGTATTTTGAGACTTGGAACAAATGTTCAACAAAATAATTAATGATTTCAGACAAAAGTCATTGCAATCCTTAATGGCAACAACTAATTCCCTTGATAATTAAACAAGATTTAGTTTTTAGTTTTAAGATGCTAATTGTTATACTGACATACATTTGGAGGTTTAAAAAACCTGTTTAAAATACTGAATTGCCAACGCAGGAACAATGTAAAAACACTTAGATTAATATCATAACAATTAAGGCTGGTAAGTTACTGTAGGTTAAAATGAAATGTAATTAATTTTGAATTTGGGACAAATCAAGAGAGCTCCATCGTATGTAGAGATTTCTAAAAGCGTAGGTCACTCAGCGCAGTATATACATAAACTTTGAGACATTTCTCGAGCCGAATAAGTGAATGTGGCTCACTCTCTGTGCAAGATTCGTTTTCACTGTGCTTTGGGCTTTTCCCCGCTGCACTGAAAACTAAACTAACACAGTAAGTCGCTTTTACTCAGTTATAAGTTACTTTTACTCCATCGTATGTAGAAATTTATTAAAACGTAGATCTTAACACAGCGCATGATAGGTACGCTTGTAGAAATTTTCCATACGAATAAGTGAAAGTGGCTCACTCTCTGAGTTAGATTCGCTCGCAGTGTGCCTTTTGGCTTTTCCCCGCTACACTGAAAACGAAACTACCTCAGTAAGTGAGTCCCTTTAACTCAGTTATTTTTACTCCATTCTATATTCCATGCACGCAAGCACGCTAAGATGCACAAAAGAAGAAGAATACCTACATATCGGTAAAAATACCGATAATCGAAGAAAGTGAACATACCTTGATATATTACCAAAAATTAACGTCCTAAAATGTCCTACTTTATAGTAAAATATAGTTTATTGAACGAAAAGAGAAACGATTTTTATACCGACAATATCAGGTAATCGTAGCTTAAAGTGTAGATTACCAGTAACCTTCGCTTTTAGAAATTTCACCATACTAATAGTGAGAGTGGCTCACTCTTTGAGCAAGATTTGTTTTCACTGAGCTTTGAGATTTTCCCCGCTGAAAACGGAACCAACTCTGAGAGTGAGTGGAGATATTTCTAAAATCATAGATCACTCAGCGCACGAGTAACCTACGCTTTTAGATATTTCGCCTAATGATAATATTCGATTTGAGTGAGTAACAACTGAGTAACAGTAACTCACTATCTGAGTTAATTTTATTTTCAGTGTGTTTAATATTCGTAGAATTTACAACTAGATGTCACTATAGCTGGTTTTAAATTTCGCCCGTGCACGTAACTTACACACTCACAAGGGACAGCAATGGGGTTGCAATGGTGACATGGTCTCATATAATAAATTTTAAGTGGACCCTACACGATTCCTTTTATTGACAATAATCGTATGGTCAATACATTCTATATTGACGTCAATACATCAAGATTGACAATATTTCTGAATTCACATCATCAATATTATTGTCAATAATTCCCCTTCGCGTCAATATATTGATGCGTGTGGGGATTGCTTTATATGTTAACTGCAGCAGGAACTTTGTTTAGGAATAGGAATTTGACGCGCTTGACATAGATGGCCCACATAGACTCACGAAGAGCTACTGATTCCGATCAATAGCGGTGCGGCTTCTTCCTCCCCTGAATTGAAGAAAAACCCGTGAATTGAGGGAAAAGTACTCAATTTAGAAATTTCTCCTGTTAATAGTTAAAACTTACTGTCTGCTGCGATTTCAGTGTTATCTTTCGCTTTTAGATATTTAGATATGAGTGGGTAGTGGGCTTTGTAAAATTCGATTCCAGTGAGTAACAGTTACTCAAACTGAGTAAAAGCAATGCACTCTCTGAGTTAGTTTCATTTTCAGTGTATTTGAACTCTAGAATTTACAACAAGATGTCGCTACAACTGGTTCTACATTTCGCCCGTGCACGGACGCTATTTCAAAACTCCTCAAATTTGGGTAGAATCCACCCAGATCTGTTAGGAGTGACAAGTTGGCAAATGGACAACATCGACATGAATCCGATCAACTTTGTTCATTTGTCAACTTGTCACTCCCAACATAGTTTACCAATTTTTGGGTAGGTTTAGTTTTGATCGATCTGGGTGGACTCTACCCAAATTTGGGAAAATTTTTAAATAGTGTGTATGTAACTCAAAGACTGATGTTTTTTTGCATTCAAATTACTCACTTTCGTTAAAAAAGCTGTGGGCTGTGGATATTCAGTTGACACAGTCTATGAGTTACTTTGATTGTCAATGCTTCATGCCAATGGAGAAATTTTTGACGTAGGACTACGTCTTTGATTTCTATATGGGGGTACACTTTGTGAAAACCGAAAATGGAACATGTAACAAATTAAGAAATATTTTGAACGTTAATAACTCAGCTACCCCTGGTCCAATTTCAATAATTTTATCACCAATCGATCAGAAATATGGCTACGCATTGATAACAATGCTTCCGAATGTTGATTTTCAACAAGAAACTATTGAAAAACTGGTAGATGTTCAGCATTGTCCAAAAGCGTCGAATTAACTAACAAATCCACCAATTACCTACATGCATATGCTGCTTCCCCAGCACAGTCGTCAGAGAGTAGTAAGTAGACGAAACAAGTCGAAGTGGCATTCGCCTCCGATCCTCGGGCGCGTGCGAATAGGAAGGATGGAATTGCGTAATATTTTACACACTCATCGCCATGTTCAGAACCAAACGCAAATTCTTCGAGGTAACCGCCATCGGTCATCTGGCTCGCCGTGGCGGTGCCTGACGTATCTCCGGTTTGATTTACGAGGTGTGCTGAAGGTGTTCCTGAAAAATAAGATCTGTGATGCTGTCATTTTCGCATGGATGTCATTTTCGTTTTTGAAGTGGCAGAGACGCACTCTGTTTGGTTTCAGAGGTTAAATCATCACCAACATTGGAAACAAAACGGCTCTTTTCAGGGCCACCAACCTTATTACAGTAAAGAGTAGGAATAGAATTCATCTGCCTGTTTGTCCATATTCAGAACCACCGACCACACAAAATGCTCATGTGATCAAACTGGAAGCAGGGATACAAATTGTTTTGATCAACCTTGATCAACTTTGAATCGCCACGGCCGGATATTTTCGATGGAAGAAGCAACAATCTAGCATCTAATTCGACGAAGACGGCAGGAAACATTTCTGGATCAACAATAGAATAGGGCCCATCAGCATTTGTAAACAAACCGTTCCAAAGCCTCACAAATCGAAGGCCGCTCACACAAACCAACACCAACATCTTGTAGGTAGAAGTTTCCCCTATCCGATGATGGTGTTGGTTTATGTGGGTGGCCTTCGCTTTGTGAGTAAAGGGTTTTGGAACGGTTTGTTTACAAATGCTGATGGGCTCTTTTCTATTGTTGATCCAGATTTGTGAAGCCGAGTTATTTACGAAAGAGAGTGTCGATGAAGAGAATCGATCAATGTAGATAGGACCTATTGAAAAGTGACACGAGATTTGTTTTCCGTACTGAGCTCCAATGCTACCGACGCCAGGGAGGCAGCTCCCAGAGATGTTATGCCTTAGAACATGCCGATGGCGCCGACTGAGATTGGACCCAGGCCTGCTGGGGTGAGAGGTAATCACGCTAACCACCGGCGCCGATATCTATCACGGCGAATGAGAACGACCCAAATTTGAGTTTAGTTATCTCAGAAACAAGAAATAAAGTGCAGGAGCTCAGCGATGAGTAAATATTCCTCATGTTTTCCCAGGTTTTTCCAGAATTTTCCAGGGAAAAATTCCCGAATTTGAGAAAAGTAAAGATTGGATTCACTCAGTCTATTGGTACTACTCCGAGACTGAATAAAATTTTCGTCAATTTCCTCATTTTCTGACAGATTTTTTAGGTTTTCCACAGGAAATCATGAGACAAATTTACTCATCGCTGAGTTCCTACACTTTTGGCGATTATGAGTGAACTAAACTCAAATTTGGGGCGTTCTCATTCGCCGTGTACGCAAAAAGAAAATAGCCAGTGTCGCTACTTGATAGCAAACTACTCATAATGGGAGGAGTCTTTGTAGCTTTTATACCACTTGGTTGCACATCATTCTGCTTTAACCTAAAAAGATATAAAGCAGCGCTGCTGTCT